GAGCCACCAGGATGAATGCAGTCTGCATAGTGTCTTTGCAGGGCCAGTTTGAAGACAGTCCCTCTAAAATGGTGCTGGAGACCAATGTGTGAGGCTGCACATTCATATTCTCTCATTTAAACATGCAGGTGTATAGTGGCTGTAAAGATTCCCACCAGTATATGAATCATCTGTATGAGGCTGGCTGCTGTGGCACACAAACTTTTTAAACTGATGACAGCCTTTGTGCAATGAACACGTAGTCTAAAATCAAGTTGCCTCGGTCTGTGCATTGAATCCTACCCGGAGATTTAAAGGCTATGCTCTTCTCAACTCAAGAGAGAAGTGACCTTCTTGAAACCAAGTCACAGAAACAAAGGCATTGGTGAGAAGAGAAGTTTTTCCTTCTCTGTAAGACTGTAAGCTATCTTCCCAATTTTCTCGGAAGTATTTACTGCACATATTTCACAAACCGCCATATGATTTGAATCTTTCTATGCATGGTAAAAATGCAACTGATTTCTCAGCAAGGATATCAGAGGAATCTCTCAGTATCTTTCAAAAGCAAACAGTGTGTCTTGACCACATGTTTTGGGTCTGGCTGCAATGGAGCACATTCTTCTAGAAGCCCACATGGTGCTGTGCTTTGCATTTGTGGTTGAAACTGTATTGATAACACACAAATGTCTTGGCTATTGCTGAGTGCTTGTTGCACAGCACTGAGGTTTCTTCCACCCTCTCTCTCCCCAGTCCCCCAGAATATGGAAATCCTACTTTTCCATACCAAATTCATTGCTACTCAGGAAAAGTCTAGTGAAAATTGCTAGTGGAAAAAACGCTAGTATGGGGTGGATGAGCTTACATTGTCTTCGAATGCTACATGCCTGAACAGCCAGTCCCAGAGGATGCTGATCAGCGTCACAAATTATACTTGGAGGTAAGTATCCAGTAGTGTAGCCCAGGGGTCAATTCTTCGTCCAGTCCTGTTCAAAATCTTCATTAACGACCTCAATGATGGGGCAGATTGCACCCTCAGCAACTTTGCTGAGAACACCAAACTGGGCGGTCTGACTTATACACCATGGTCACAGACAGTCATGCTGCTATCCAGAGAGACAGCAACAGGCTGGAAAAACGGCCTGACAGGAACCTCTTGAAGTTCAACAAAGAGCAGTGCAAAAGCGCTGCCCTGAGGAGGAACAGCCTCAGGCGTCAACACACACTGGGTGCCGCCCAGCTGCAAAGCAGCTCGGCAGAAGGAGACCTTGGGGTCCTGGTGGAAGACCGGACATTCTTCAGGGAGGAAGTCTTCAAGGCACAGGAGCAGGCTGTCCCCACGTGCTGCAAGACGAACCGGTGGGGTAGACGACCGGCCTGGCTGAACAGGGAGCTTTTGCTGGGACTCAGGAAAAAAAAGGGCAGGCTACTCAGGAAGAGCACAGGGACCTCATTAGGTCATGCAGAGAGAAGATCAGAAAGACAAAAGCCCAGCTAGAACTCAGGCTGACCACTGTTGTAAGCAATAATAAAATATGTTTTCACAAATGTATTAACAACAAAAAGAGAGCCGAGGAGAATCTCCCTCCCTTATTGGATGCAGGGGGTGAACAGTTTCATTGAGGATGAGGAAAAGGCTGAGGTTATTAATGCCTTCTTAGCCTTCTTAGCCTCAGTCTTTAGTAGTCAGACCAGGTAGTCAGCTCAGGGTATTCATCCCCATGAGCTGGAAGACGGGGACAGAGAGCAGAATAAACCCACCATAATTCAGGAGGAAGCAGTTAACAACCAGCTACACCAGCTGGACATTCACAAGTCTATGGGGCCTAATGGGATCCACCCAAGAGTACTGAGGGAGCTAGCAGAGGAGCTTGTCAAGCCACTCTCCATCACCTATCAGCAGTCCTGGTTAACAGGGGACATCCCAGATGACTAGAGTCTTGCCAATATGATGCCCTTCTACAAGAAAGACCATGTTGTGGGTTTGCGTGGCAAGGTTTTGGTAGCAAAGGGGGTGGCTTCTGTAAGAAGCTGTGAGAAGCTTCCCCCATGTCTGATAGAGCCAGTGCCAGCCAGCTCTGCGATGGACCCGCTGCTGGCCAAGGTGTTATGGTTTGGCTGCGGCCAGCAACAGAAGCGCCACGCGGCCGCCCTTCCCCCCGCCACGGGGCGGAGGGGCCCCCCCCGACTGTCGCTGCCGCGTGCTCCCAAGACGCGAGTGAGTTCCCGCCGCCCAGCTCCCCCCCAGCGGCACCCAGCATGATGGCACATGGTATGGAATACCCGGCTCTGTTTGGCCAGGTTGGGTCAGCCCGTCCGGCTGTGTCCTTTCCTGGATACCGGTGAAAATTAACCCTGTCCTGGCCTAACCCAGGACACAAGGCCAAGCTAATCAGCAACAGCAGTAGTGCCTCTGGGCACTTCAATAAACATATTTAAGAAGGGGAAAAACTTGCTGTGGAACATCAGCCGAGAGAGAGGAATGAGACTATGTGAGAGAAACAACTTTGCCAGCTCCAAGGCCAGCGAAGAAGGAGGTGGAGGAGGTGCTCCAGGCACTGGAGCAGAGATTCCCCTGCAGCCCTTGAAGGAGAGGATAGTGAGACAGGCTGTCCCCTCTGCAGTCCATGGAGGTCCACACTGGATGCGATATCCACCTGCAGTCCCTGGAAGACCCCACACCAGAGCAGGTGGATGCTTGAAGGAAGCTGTGACTCTGTGGGAAGCCCATACTGAAACAGGCTCCTGGCAGGACCTTTGGACCTGAGGGGAGAGAGAAGCCTGTACTAGAGCAGGTTTGCTGGCAGGACTTGCGACCCCATGGGGTACCCATGCTGGAGCAGCCTGTTCCTGAAGGACTGCACCCCATGGAACGGACCCACGTCGGAGCAGGTGGATGCCCAAAGGAAGCTGTGACCTTTTGGAGAGCCCATGCTGAAACAGGCTCCTGCCAGGACCTGTGGACATGTAGAGAGAGGACTCCACACGGGAGCAGATCTGCTGGAAGGACTTGTGACTCCATGGTGGACCCACACTGGAGCAATCTGTTCCAGTCACTGTCTCCCATAAGAGGGACCTCATGCTGGAATAGAGGAAGAGTGTGAGGAGTCCTCCCCCTGAGGAGAAAGGAGCAGCAATGTGTGATGAGCGGACCGTAACCCCCATTCCCTGTGACCCTGTGCAGCTCGGGTGGAGGAGGTAGAATAATGGGAGCCAAGTTAAGCCCATGTAAAGGAGGGGTGGTGGGAAGGTGTTTTAAGATATGGTTTTATTTCTCATTATCCTACACTGATATGCTTGGTGATAAATTATCTTGACCCACCAGCCTTTCATCATATTTCCTCTCCCCTGTGCAGTTGAGGAGGGGGAGTGACAGAGCAGCTTTGGTGGACACCTGGCCCTGAACACAAGCCAGCGGTGTGCCCAGGTGGCCAAGAAAGCCAACAGCATCCTGACTTGCATCAGGAATACTGGGGACAGCAGGAGTAGGGAAATGATGGTCCCCCTGTACTGGGCACTGGTGAGGCAGCACTTAGAACACCATGTTCAGTTTTGGGCCCCTCACTGCAAGAAGGACATTGAGCCGCTGGAGCGTGTCCAAAGAAGGGCAACAGGGCTGGTGAAGGGTCTGGAGAGCAAGTCTTTGTGGTGGTGCAGGCTCCCCCCCTGCCCCCAACCTGAGGAGCGCCTGAGGAAACCAGGATTGTTTAGTCTGGAGAAGAGGATGCTGAGGGGAGACCTTATCACTCTCTACAACTACCTGAAAGGAGGTTGCAGTGAGGTGGTTGTTGGTCTCTTTTCCCAAGTAACTAGCAATAGGACGAGAGGAAATGGCCTCAAGTTGTGTCAGCGAGATTTAGGTTGGAAATTAGGAAAAATTTCTTGACTGAAAGAGTGGTCAAGCATTGGAACAGGCTGCCCAGGGACATGGTGGAGTCACCATGCCTGGAGGCATTCAAAAAATGTGTAGATGTGGCACTTCGGGACATGGTTTAGTAGGCATGGTGGTGATGGGTTGACGGGTGTACTTGATGATCTTAGAGGTCTTTTCCAACCTGAATGATTCTATTATTCTATGATCTACAGTCCCTTGAACGCAGAGTCCATGGACTGAACTGACTAGAAGTTGCTTGAGACAGATGTTTGAGAAACCTTAGCAGACCCTCCCCCCACTTCTCTCAGGAGCTCTACTCAAGCTCAGGCTCTTGTCCTCAGTCCCTGCCTGAGCTATATTACAGCCCTGCACATGCCTGGTCACCTACTCCACTGATCCATACTCTGACTGTGGTGCTTGATATTCCATCTGCTTCATCCCTAAAGATCTGCCTGGTCATAACACTCGGCTGACTGATTACCATCACTGGACTTCCTCCACTGTGACTGAGGTCTTTGCTGGTGACCACACAGCCACATGCCTGCTTTGCCATCACCTTCGGCTCTTGGCCATCTCACCCTTGTGGATCAGTCTACGTTGGCTGCTCCTTGACATGAACAACGTAAAGGCTTAGTCCCATGAAGTGACATCTTGTTAAATCTGAGGGAGCAGAAAACTTGCCAAAATGGGGGACTGGAGTTTTGGGAGGGATTTTAAAATAGAGTCTGAGAGGCATTCCCATTAAAAAGAGAGAAATATTATAATGTGCTATAAAGGTATGGATTTCAGGAATGTTCAGAATGTAACAGGGAGAGCACAGTGCTTTGAGGACACATTTTCATATCATACGATCAGCAGTATCCCAAATCCAGGGTTGCTCCCCAGACAGGTTTGACTCCATGAGGTATGTGCTATTGCACAAGGCGTAAGCAGTGGCTAGGATTTAAAAAAATTATCTTCACCTCTTTCTTTACCTTGTGGAAATTGTTTTTCTTTAGTAAACTTGGTGTCCAGTAAGTGAATAGATGCATAGTTGAGAGGAGGGAAAATCAGCTCCCTGAGAACCAGGAAGTTTAGCAAAACTTCTCCAGATTCCACATGTCCAAATTAAGCTGCTGTTTTACTAGCGACCACTTATACATCAGAACCTGCCTTTCCTTCTGCTAAGGGTTGAGCCTGGGCAGAAAGGTACATCCCACTTCCCCAAAGGCTGGGCACTGATGCCGTATATCACGTTGAACTAATCCTCAAATGGCAATGCATACCTTTTTTTTTGTTGTGTTTTTTGAATGACCGATGGCATAATGATGGTTGTGAAGGAGAGGAGAGAAAAAATGGAGGTTGCTCCTACTCCTTCTATTTCCCTGTGAGAAAGAGTTCAGCACAATGAGCAATACCACTCCTCTTTCCTTCCCAGAAACCTGCATCGCTGTCCAAAACCAATTCTACTCGACTAAACATGGCTTCAGTCAGCAAAAAACACCCTCTCCTTCCCTTCCTATCTTCACTTCAGTGACCCTCATCTTTGCACCTACCTGGCCTCAGGACCAATTGAAAAACAGACGGGTTCAAAAATTAACCATTATGACTATGGGAGCAAAGAGCTTGCTTTCACCTGTGCTCCAGGGACGTGTCTCCTGTCTGCAGTGCTCCCTCACCCTGTGACTGCCAGCCCTTTCTCCTCTTTCCATCCTTCCATGACTCTCTTGCCCTCCTGAGGTGGAGGAACAGCAGCCTCGGTGAGTTTTGCCCAAGATAATCCTTCCCTTCCTTGCTGTTTACAGCTCAGTGATTTCAGCAAAGTCTGCAACTGCTCCGTACTTTCTTTCTCTTTTACTGCAGCAGAGAAGTGAAACGTTGCACCCTCAGCAAGATGCAGAAGAAGCAATAGCATTTGATAAGGTAAGAGCACTTGCCTTGTTATGTTTTAGTCCGCTTACTCGTTAGTCTATACAACTCCATGCAGCTGTGAAATTTTCACGTAGTTTTGGTTACTGTACCTGCACAAAGTCACTTGTGAACCACGTGCTCGCTGTGGCTATGGGCTAGCGGAGGAAGTGTGCAGGCTGAGAAAGCAGCCACATGAAGCTTGATCCATCTGTTGGAATATGAGACAAGTGGTTGGCCCATGTTATCCATCGGGTGTAGCAACAGTACAATACAAAACGCACTGAGAAAAAAGAGCTTTAGAACCTGCCTGGCATCCCTTCTTCATTGAACTGTCCCGGTTACCAGGGAAAGCATTCAATGTTCCTTCCAATTTTCTCTGAGATCTTGTGCTGCTGGTGTCAAATAAATCTTTGCAACAAGCTTCAGGGAATGATACTGGTTTTACCCGATTTTTAAGAGGTTAAAATAATAGAAAAATAACTTTCTTCAGAAGGGCATTTCTAGTTCCATTTTGCCACTTGTGAAATACTGGCAGCAACAACGCTGTGGTGGTGGGGATGGCCACATCACATGATCGCTTCACACCAGCTTTCATTGCAA